AAGGATGGTGTTTTTTGCGCTTCGGCCAAATGTCAACAATCGATGAAGAAGTCGCGTACGGGGGTAGGGATTGAGAGGTTGGTTGATTTCAGGAATATCGGAGAAATTAAATTTAAAATGTAGCATGAAGTGGTCAGAACCAAAGGATTGTGCCTTTGACTAGAAGTCCGACACATTTACCTCCATTCCCATATCACCCTCACCTCATCCCCCAACCCCTGCGCTCCCCATCCGCCTACTTCGCGCGAGAGCCGTTTCGGAGGCAAAAATAGGCGGCGCAGTTGCGTGGTCGCAGAGATTTGAAGTGAACCCACGCTAGTGTTATTTTGCCTTAGGGACATGGAACACTAGAAAGTGCTCAAATCGAGTTTGCCAGCGCCCAAGTACCCACCAGTAAACCACGCTATTCGTTAGCGTGTTCTCGCAAAGTCTGACACTTGCCTTTCTTCTGGGAATTTCAGCCGGCACAAAAGAGGATCGATTATGGCGTTCGAAGCGTGGCCTAGGTTGATGGTTTTGGTCTACAATATGAAAAGATAGCCCCAAAGAACGTATAAACCATGGGGTGGGATGCCGCGACTCGTGCTCTTCTTCCTAGTCGTGATACGGTAAGTATGCACCATGCGCAGGGTCCAGGACAACCAATGAGGATGTAATTAGAGGCGGGCGAAACCCACGGATCGTAATATAAGGTCGCCGATGTGATTTCATGTGTCGGTGGCGTTCGTTTTCTTCATTTGATGTATAATACGAAAACACCTTCCCCGCTTCGGAGAAAAGAAATAGTCAAGTATCGATACGGTATGTTCGCTTAGATGCGGCTGAACTTTCTTCCGTCCAGAATCCACAAATGCACCCTTATTTCAAGAAAAAGAAACCGATGTCGAGTGCAGACAACGCGCAATGAGGCGGGCGGCAAAGGGTGAATATGCTAGTGGTTCTGGTGATAGCTAATATTGGGAAATGATCGTTCTAAATTTGCTGCATGGTAGCAACCGGCTAATCATTCCTCGGCAGAAAACATTTACATTTTGTGGAGACCGTCGTCGCTTGTGGTATGCGGTCTGCTCTCGGCGACTTCGGGTTTCCTGAAACAGGGAGCGCAGTACATCCCAAACTTTGAAGCGACGGAAGAAGGGATACGCTCTTTGTTAATACGCGTATGCCGCAAAAATAGCCAATTCAAGCCGGACAAAACGCGATTTGCGTTTTTCGTTTTTTTTTGTTAGGTACTCGGTTTATTGATTGAGTTTTTCAGATCCGCGAGAACGATATTGAGCCTCAGCTTGTTGAGTTCTAATAAGTAGTTGTCCTAAGTTTAAGGCCCATAATTGGATTGCGCATTTGCACTACTTCCATGTTTAATTAAAGAAAGAAAAAACCTTTATAAACAAAATAATTAAAATGGTTCGTTTCGCTCCTTCCTCAGACGAACCTTATTATTTCGTCAATCCCCGGAGCTCATCAGTGAGTTGGGATTGGCGAAATAAAGACACAGGGGAAAGACGAATAAACCTTGAGCTGACGTACAAATTTGTCATGCAGAGGAGCATGCAATGAAATTAATTATATATTGAATGTTTGGGACCACGCCGCAGAAGAAGCGCTCACCTGCGACCATGTGTTCCATATAATTCCTACAGAAAGGTGAACGTAAAAAAAACGCGAAATCGCGTTGTTCGCGTAAATTTTGCAGTTTTTACGGCGAGTACCGTAGATGTACCGCGTACTTACCATTAATCACAACCTCTGCTTGTCATTTCACGACGATGTACAAGTCAATTAGCGTTTTTATACCGCCGGGTAGCTATGTGGCACCACTTGCCATTACAGTACTTCCGCCCAAAGTGTCATAGAATTTATCTGAGGAATTTACAAAACTTCGCAAAAATTTCTCGCAAATCGTAAAAAGGCCCACTTTAATATCTTTTGAATACGACTTCATTCTATTCGACTCCCATCCCCAAAACCACAAATGCGCTCCTCTCGTCTGAATAATGGACGGATAGTTGATCCTGCTTCTGTTTCACCAGTTCGATCCTCTTCCCTTGTGCCAATATTCCTCGGCTTATGACGCCACTTGATCGAACCTCAAGTCGCCAATAAGGCCACCAACTAACGACTTTGTAGAACACAGAAGAATGTTAAAATTACTGCTTCGCTTTTCATGCTTTCTGGGTGTGGTTCAATAGGACAGAAAGCGAATTTTCGCGTTTCGCAGCGCGAAACATTTTTCGCTGCGGGAACCTCGGGTCCACCGTGATCAGCGTGGACCTGAGGTTCCCGCAGCGAAAAATGTTTCGCGCTGCGAAACGCGAAAAAAGTCGCTTCCTATCCAATTGGACTACACCCATCTTCCTTCCTTACGTCAGTCCTGTCGTCAACGCGGTGCCATCGACACACCGAGGATGTGTTATCGTATAAATAGAAGCGCACAATCGCCGAGAACGCATACTAAATAACTGCGTGAATGATCATATACACTTTTGTTGTTGTCCCAAAGATATGTACAAAGCTATTCTTTCCCACACGTAATTATCATCACGGTCAGAAAGAGGGAAGGTTGAAATATGGGCTTACATTGGACACTTTAAAAAGTGCAATCGATCGACAACGGCCATTCTATTTTATACACGATTATTACTGATTCGACGTAAACATCAACAGTCCCTCCCATCAGTACGAATTGCAGATCAACTTGTTTGTAAGAGGCATATCGCTATATGTTATGGTCACTGTTAAGCAGGGGAAGATCTTGTCGAGGACGTACGCGTCGCAGAAGTATGACCCACCCTGAAATCGAATCCTAGCCACCCCCCCCCTAAATACAGAGCAGACGCAATTAATCCAACTAATAAACAAAGAAAAATCCGGCGCTCATCCGGTAGGGGGCATTGTGATGCAACGTCTAATGCTGCCCTCACCCCCCCCCCTGAACTGGCTTCACTCCCCCTGGCTCACGGGGTCCCGTACTTCGAGAAACCTGTGCGCCAGGGGGAGTGTAGGCAGTCTAGGGGGGTGGGGGTGAGGGCAGCCACTTGATGCCCCCCTTACTGGATGAGCGCCAAATGTTCAAACAAAATGTGGTAAACGCTCTTCTCTTTCATCATAGCATTTCTTCATCCCTGCACACTTTGTTAATTTTCCTGAATATTACGCCTAGTAGAACGAGGCATTAACATTGTAAAATTTCAAATGCAGGCTCCTTTAGAAATGCACAGAAATCTCAAGGCGCGGGTTGCGATTGAATCTTAATTCCTGCTCTCAAGCAGCACTGCAGCAGCAGCAAGCAGCAGATTTGGTCAGGGTCCGATTTGCTGAAATGCCGGAAAAAACCACAGACTCCAGTTCGAAATCTACACCCTCGATGAAAACGTTCCTTTCCTCCATTTCCTAACCTTTTGAACAGCACGTGGTAGGGTTAGATGGAGCTAGATTTGCTACTATCAATATTAGAATTGCTATGAAAGCCTTCCATTCGAAGAGATATAGTCTCTCAAAAACCGTCGAGGGAACGTCGAGGATGCTGGAATTTTCATGCGAGTTTTTGCCACTTGAAAGGCAATATCTCTCTAATTTCGCAACAATTGAAAAGGCGAAGACAGTTTTGGAAAGTAGGAAGGTTTGCGCTTTCTAACAGTATGTTTAGCTTCCTTCTAATTGCCTAGTTAAGGAGATATTTGCGTCGAGGGTCTATCGAGGGGATTCTCGGCCGCTCAAAAATCCGCTCCCCTCTTCACCATTGCAGACGTAATAATCGTTTGGGCAAAGCTCAAATTGTGTCTAGAATACATTCTCCCAACGTAATCGATAAGAAAAGGGGCAATTGTCGTCGCTCTGATCTCGTCTCAGTATGGCCATGCATCCGACCTCCACTCGAAGTTGCAAAATCGATTAAATGTGTTATGATCATGAATTAGTTGACAAGGCTTCATTTAGTAAACATTCACTCCTATAGACTGAGAGACAGTCGATTTTGCTCAGCTTTCCGTTCACGGTGAGTTAGTTTTTCGACAGCGTTTTAACCACATGTCACTCTCAACGAGAGGTATTAAGGAGAGGAACGGCGATTAGATGGAGGAGTGTCTTTCAAATTCTTCCCTTTACCGCTACACATACACCTTTACACCTATCTGCCCAAGATGCCACAGAGTTTACTGACCCCCCACGAGTACACCCCACGACCAAACCTGACAAGTACACCCCTGCCGAGGTTTTCATCGAACCGATATCACCCTGCTGTAAAGACATGTCTGTTGCAAGTTCTATTCCATCCAGATAAATTATGATTAGTTACCCTGTCTCCCAGTCAACGTCCTAAGTGCAGCTTGCAACACAAGCATCATATCAGAAGACGAAAATCGTAAAGAAACACATGTAATATCAGTTTTTCATGGCTGTCGCCGCGTGCATATCAAGGTTGAAGAAGTACTGTGGCGAGCGTGACGATGGTTTTGAAAAAATCGATATCGCGTGTGCTTTCTGATGACCACTGATTTGACGTTTAGAATGTCTGCTTTTACGACTTATGTGAGAGCGGGAAATAAAGGGTAAACCCATTCTTGATCGAATATGATTTCAGATGGTGGCCTCAAAAATTCATTTCGTATTCCTGATACGAATCAAAACCGTCTACAGCTCTGACAAAAGTCCAATATGTAACCCACCCTACTAAAAACTACGGTTTTGTAAACCTGTTCTGCGATCCTTACCAATGGAATGAAACTGGACTTCATTTATTCCATGCTAACGTACAAAACAAATACGGGCGAATAACACATGGACAAATATATGCTTAAAGCGTGTGACAATAACGTAAACAAAGTGTACAAAGGAATAACAACATACTGTGTTGACAAAGTAACAATAAAATGATGCTTAGAAACCGGGTCATTGATTACTGAACGTATGAGAACTGTTACTACTGCGATTAATTCGTATAACCTCTAACAAGGTCGAACTTTCACTAGCAGCAATAACAGTGACGAAGGACACTTCATTCACTTCTTAGGAGCAGCCATTATAGGGATGGTTCTCTTCTGCGTCTGGCCCTCGACATTCTTCGGCGCTTCCACGGACAAATGGCCTTTGTCATCGAGCTGAGTACGGATCGCCTCCAGATCAACATTTTCTGGCAAGAGCCATTTGCGGGTAAACGATCTATAACAACCGAAGCGATCAATGAGTTTCCCGAACTGTCCCTATGGAAAAACCAACAAACCTCACCTGTGCATAGCGCTGTTGTCAGTCTTGTGCTCCTGCTTTCCTTCGATGGTTAGCTCACGTCCCTCCAAATGCACATTCAGTTCTTCTGGGCGGAACTGGGAAACATCCAAAGAGACAGCAAACTTCTTATCGTCGTTCACGAGCTGCAATTTTTATTGATTTTGCATATGCAAACGTCCAGCGGTTACCATGGAATAACTAAGCTGCGACTCATAAATCGCCAAAAACGTCACAGC